TAAATGCTTACCACTAAAAAAAAAAAAAATGGTAAAATAAATGGGACACCACCACGCCTAATGGTTAAACCGTTTGATAAAATAATTTAATATAAAAATAATATATAACAGGGTTTTGTATATTGAACAAGTTAGTCAGCACTCGTGGACATAATTACAACACCGTTCAACTACTAAACCCTAAACTACATAATTTGATTCTAAGAAATACTAAGTAAAATTTAGTTGATCAAAACTTCTTTGGCATATCCTAACCAGTAATGCTCATCTACCCACGGTGGACACATGTGGTGCCCACCGCTTATGTGTCACTCATAAATTGGTGATGTATTTTTTTAATATATTAACATCACCAATGTGTAAATGCTACATAAGCGGTGGACATATTAACATGTGTACATCCATAAACCATTAATTTAATGACAACTCCTATTATAGCACTATTATTTTTGGTAAAATTTCATTAATGAAGTCAAAAGTGTTGTAACCTACAATTTAGTCGTGTTAGTGCGCGTGTGGCACATTCTTATTAGTCAAACAAAATTAAATCAAGGACATATTAGGTATTTACATCCTTTCTTTTTCTCTCATTTAAACTTGGCCCAAGACTCCAAAAAACAGATCATCATCAAATAGAAAATAAGCAAGTTCTCTCTTACTTACAAAGAGTAACTGAAAAAAACAGCCTGAAAAACCATTTTTTTTTAGGATAAAATAATGAGTGAAAGAGTTATATTGATAGATGAATTGAGATCACCATATTATCAAGTGTTCAAAATTTGCAGAATTTGCCATGAAGAAGAAGAAGAAGAAGAAGAAGAGTTCGAAAGCTGCTGTAATAAGAGCTTCGAGGCCCCTTGCGCTTGTTCCGGCACTCTCAAGGTGCCCTTTTCTTTTTTCAATACGATATTTGTATAAGTTAATGGAAAAAAAGGTTACTACAGACTAGTAAATATCATTTGATTTTATTTTTATTGGGTTTCTTTTTTTTATTTTTAATTATCAGTTTGCACACAGAGACTGTGTACAGAGATGGTGCTATGAAAAGGGCAACACAACTTGTGAAATTTGCTTACAGGTGCTTACATTCTCTTGATATTGATTAATTTCACCACACATTTTGGGCCTTTTTTTTTTTATTACAATTTTTTGATAATGTATTTATTTCTAAAGTGAAAGAATTTGTTCTCATGTGGCAGTAATGCTAAGGAGCCAACAGTTGGCTCCGTTATGGAGCCAACAACCAATTGGACAATTTCATGTGGGGCTGTCCCACATTAAAGTATTGTGGGACAGCCCCACATGGAGTTGTCTCATTGGTTGTTGACTCCGTAATGGAGCCAACTGTTGGCTCTTTAGCATTATTGCTCATCATGTCCAAACCAATGTTCTTATCTGCAAATGTATATGGAAAAGTTTGACTTAAATCTGAGTATATTCTTAAGTAGTCCACCTCCTTTTTAAATCACCATATGTCTTGTAAATAACAAAGAAAAATTTGAATTAACCGGTGTTTGTCACATTGATTTGGTTTACCAATTGATTTACAGAGAGTTATTTTTGATAAAATCTATACTATTAGTTTTGTTAATATTATAATGAGAAGCGTAACGGATGCTTGTCCTTTGCATTATATATATATATATATATTTTAATCAATACGTAATATAATATCACTTGTGAGTCCTTAATAAGAAAACCCAATAATTTTTAATATCCAATTCTATGTTTTCTCAATTCATTTTCTCGCCCAAGAAGAATGAAATATCTTCAAAACTCTCCATTGATACGACATCTTCGCTTCTTTGCTTGCGCTTCTGTTCTCCCAATAACTAAAAAATATAGCATGCCTGAATTTAACCGGGGTTCACGATGTGTTTCACGTGCGTGAGACCACACATGTTTTCCCCCATTACACGTAAAAAGTGTAGCAAGAATCTTCAAATTAATCAAATGTTTTAGTGCTACAATAATAAATCCTTGAAATTTACCTCTCTCTCTTTTTTTTTTTTTTCATTTTCAAATTTTGTTTATAGAAATTTGAACCAGGGTACACATGTCCCCCACCTAAGAAGGCCAATCAATTTGTTACAAGTGTTACCATAAGGTAAGGTACTCATGATTTGTTCCTTTTTACTTTCTCCTATTTTGATTTGTTTTTTTTTTCTAAAGTTAGGATATGTGCAATTATTAAAGCTTAACCCTGTAAAATTAGCTCCTTTTCAGAGTTGTTGTTCATCATGATAGTTCATCCAAGCTTTTTCTCCAGTTATATTTTTCTAAAAAAAAAAAATTACATACTTAAACATAACATGTTATACTTTTGTATATTACATTTTTTAAAATATAACATTTCAATTCAAAAATGCAAATTTATTAAAAAAATATGACTTTGGTAACAACATACTTTTGTTCTGACCCAATATATATATATATATATGTTTGATATCTTCTTAGAAATTTCCCAATTAATAACAAATAATACTCATAATTATCCAAACACTGCAATTTCCCTATGAATAAAAATTAATAATTTAAAAAAAAAAATGGAAAAGATTATTAAAATATGGAATTGGGATTAAATTTTTCTTGACAGGGAAAGTTTGGGAGTGGGAAGAGATGAAGAAGAGCAAGAAAACAGAGGACAAGTTTTTGAAGCAGAGGATTATGATGACTCTGAATGTGCATATGAAGCCAATAAAAGTGCTTCTTCTTGTTGTAGGTTGGTGGCACTAATAGTAAGTATCTTCTAACTTTTTATATGTACCATTCTGTGTTAATTATACAAGTACACAGTCAAATGCAAAGTCTCATGCATTTGCAGAAGCTTGATTTACTCGAAATCGAAGCAAATTTACAGTAACTTCAAATTTTTATCGATATTGATTTGCAGATAACTGCTCTACTTCTCACCAGACATTTGTTTGGAGTTGTTATAGGAGAAGAGACTTACCCTTTTTCACTTCTCACTGTAAGTTTTTGGTTTTTACTGTCATTTCATTCTGTTGCCTGCTTCTAACAATAATAAATCAATATTTATTATTTACTGAGGTAAAAAGAAACTACTTGTTTTATACAGGTGATTATAGTGAAGTCTAGTGGCATTATCCTTCCAATGTACATACTGACTAGGATTTCAGCTGCAATTCATAACAGCATCAGGCATCACCAACAGATTAATGATAATAATTTCTGAGTAATTATGCTTGTAATTAAGCAAAATCTTGTGATTATGTTTTGTAATTATCCTTTTCTTGAGTACATAACAAACTTGTGTGATTTTCTATTTTTTTAACCATTTCAGATTTATAGCATGGAGTTCGAAAATGAATCTGGAGACGAACAGCGGCAAAATAACGTGTTACGAGCCTGATCTGTGTATTTCTCCTTGTATTTCTCTTTCACTTCACAATAACAGATGGAAAATGTAGAAAATTTCACAGCTAATAAATGTAATGAAAAAAAAAACCAAGAGAAATTAGTTTGCTTGCAATTGAAGTTGAAACACGAGAAGAAATGCCACTCACAAGTCAATTCATGCTCTGTAATAAAACATAAAATGCAACTAGATTCTTGTAGTCCAAGTCACAGTTCGATGTGGAGATATATAGTGTCAGCATCAATTGGTGACCACTTTTTTACCAACATAAAAACAAATAAAATAAAATAAAACAGTTGGCCTTTTCACAAATTTCCCGAATATATATGAGACGACACTAAGATGGCTAGTTCTGTTAGTCACATGAGTTCAAACCGTGGAAGTTTGAAACTAACAACACAAGTTTAGACTTTCTTGTACATGACATATGATTCGATTTTCATGTCCGTTTGGCCCTCTCTAATGCTATTAGAGGCAAACGGTTCGGGTTTTTTTTTTCTTGACAAAATTGAACAAGGTAGCTGTAAGAAATATGCATTCCACTACAAGTCTGAAAGGGTTTCATCAAACCAGCTGGAGAGCCGGTTAAACTTTCTCATAAGATCTGCATTTTTCTGAAAATAAGTCCGAGCATTTGCTAAAACTTCCCCAAAATCATGTTTAAAGGCCTCAACAGTTCTATAGTAGTCGTTTTCTATCCTCGACTTGATTATATCCAGAGATAGAGGAACAGGGAACCTTTAAAAAAAAAAAAAAAGAAAAAACATTACATTAAGTATAACTATTAACAAACATATATAGCGTAAATTTTTTTTTTCTACCTGTTCATGAATTCAGACTTTGCTGCCACTTCACGCAGTTTTCTGATGCCATATCGATCCTGAAATATCGGGAACACATTCCAACAGGATTATCAGAATTTTCCATCATTTATTATTACTTACATATAATTAGAAAATAATATAAAAACTACCTCCAAAGGTCTATAGATAGCCTAATTGCTAAAATATTCAACAGCCTAAATTACAAGTACTCTCTAGAGCTCCATTTCATAGATGGGACAAATCTTAAGAAAATAGGTCTCGATTTCTCAGGACCAAATTTGAACTTATTTCGGAGTTGGATGTGGATTTCAAATCCACTTTCCATATACTAATTTGAAATCCTCTCTTCAAATCAACTCTTTCAATTCAATGCATCCTCAAGGTATTTACTATGACATTCGTATTTGCTAACATATACACTGTCCTGTGAGTGTATTTTAGTAAAATGGAAACTAAACCATATAAACATAAGAACTTAATTAGAATGGGAAGTGAAAAGAAAGAACCTTATCTTTATTCGCAGCCCGCCCTAATTTAGTAAGAGCATTTAAAATCTTCTCTTTGCTGTTAAAGTCTATAGTTGGCTGCTCCATTGGCATTTCTGAATCGTGCAGTTCCCAAGGGCAATGATAACGAAAATCAGCCTCATCGTTTTCGTACTTGACGTGATATCTTTCCCAAGGGCTTCCCGGGAAATTTTTACACTTGTCTTCAATAGCCGTAATTCGACCCTCCCACCACGTGCCCCCACTATCACTCTCGTCCCTCCACCATACGAGGCATTTATCCCGAGTTGACCAATTTCTCTCTATAGCAGCATCATATCTACTCCTTTCAACAATGAAATCCGGGAAGTCAAGCTCGGGCAATAACAGTTGGAACTTACGGCCAAATACGCTGCAAAAGGAATCGATGAATTTCAGAGTGATAAGGCAACAGCTGTCGCCAGAGCCACGCTGAGTTGTGTACTTGAGGTTTTCGACTGAACAAACTTCGACGGCTCTAATCTTATCTCCATGCTTCACCCATGGACCAGATTCTTGTGCCTGAGTCAACTCCAAGAAATCCTCATGGCCCTGCAGAATATTGAACACACAATCACTCTCGGTTCACAAGATAATAAATCATCAATGGAACAAATCACCGCAAATTTAAGCTCTATATCAACTTGTTGGCCTAAAAAAGAAAATTAATTTAAGCTCTATATAAACTTCTTGGCCTAAAAAAGAAAATTAAAAGTATAAAAATGTCTTTGTATCCATTAAATAAATCTTTGACATGGGTTAATTAATTAAAAAGCTAATATAGTCCAATCATCTTTTGATTTTCCCCTCTTTTTTTTTTTTTTTTTGTGCGTGTGTGGAAGTTATTCACTAACTTCTAATGATGTTTTATTTTTCCTTTTCCAATCTGAAAACAGTAAAACAAAGAATTTTGACTTCTTGCAGTATGATATAGCTTATGATTGTAGATTGTACCATTAAACTCAACCTGAGACCAGTTTCCATTTCCTTTTTCTTTTTACCTTCCACCGAGTAATGTTCGTGCTAAGAGAAGGGATAAAAGAAAATTACCTGCCGCAAGTACACAACTTCATCTCCTAGCTGAGGTATGTAACGATATCCAATCTCCTGCTCTGACAATAACAGCCAATTTGTTTTTCGGGCCCCTTGGTGCTTAGCCAAAGAACTTCTCTCTCTTCTATGCCCATTCTCTTTCTTGTTTCTAGAAGACCTAGATCTTCCAGAATACCTGGAACCCTCTGGTGGGAAATAATCAACGTCTTTCTTGGAGGACCTTTCTGCACTTCTCGATGTACATGGTTGTAAATATGCAGAGCCTATTTTAATTTTATAGTTCGCTCGACTAGCCTCCTTTGGTGCAGCCTTCAACCTAAATGATCTAGCTCGACGAGCAGAATCAGTTGCCATGTCAGGCGAATCATCTTCTTCCTCTTGGTCAGAAAAACTAACACTTGGATCATCGTCACAAGTTTCATCATCACTCACATGGGATTGTGGCATATGATTGGCTTCATCAAGAAGTTCGGGAGGAGAGCTCTGTACGGACTTCCTTGATTTGAATTTAATGGTAAGTTTAGTTTTGGACTTATTTTGCTGTGCGGATTGACTTGATTTATCTTCATAGTTCATCGGATTGATTTCAGTTGAATTTACTTCACCTTCGGCTGGGGCCCGTTCAACATCTCCCAACTGCGTGACAATTGACGTGCGTATTTTGAATTTTCCCCAACTCACATTGGCATCACTAATACTGGCAAATGCCCTCGACTCATTGCCACAATTTTCAGAGGGTTCGTTATCAGCCCCAATTGCAGAAGACGAACACGGATCACCATATTTAAAATTAACCCCATCTTTTCCGGCGTTTTCTTCATTTTCCCCAAAACCTGAAGAGGCAGCTTGATTATTCAATTGGTCCACGTGATTCTCAGAAGATACAGGTGCCTTACGATTATTAAGGGAAAATCTGACCACTAGTTTCTTCTTGTTCCCGCTGCGGATCTGTGAATCGGGAGTTCCGATATGCTTGATTGCATCATCAGACGCATTTGAAGATACTAATGCAACATCTGCATACGTCTTTTGAATTTGATCATCAACAAGTAGATTTTCATGTTCCTTTCTCTGAACAGAAAAACCTTCTTCCAAGGATGACTCTGTGTTGGACGACTCGCCTGCTGAGTCCTCTTCATCTTGTTCACCTTCAGAAGTTTCAGTTATTTGGGAAATATTGTTGATCACATTACGTGCAGCAACTCTTTGAGTTCTTGATGGCTTTGACTTGGTAGACTTTCGCTTAGATGTCCTGTGAGTAATTTTTAACTTTTTATGTCTTTTATTCCTCGATGAAGTTCCCTCGTGTCCATCCAATATTCTCTTCTTAACGCGTCTACCAGAAGTCATCATGCCGACCTGGGGGAGGAACGGGAAAACGGAAAAAAAAAGAGTAAAAAATGATACACAATGCAATCACCTTGAATATATATACATATATATATATATATATATATATAAATTGGAAATCGAGATTACTTCGAGTACAGATTTCTTCCTTTTCGACCGGCGTGTACTATCCTTGTGATTTCGCGCGACCTTGTCTTCTTCACTACAATCCAAATCACTCGATGTGCTGTCACTAAGACAAGTTTGCTCATCGCTAAAATTCTCTTCGGCAGCATTGTACTCCGAGTCATTGTCATCATTCATGCCATCATTTTCGGGTTCCCAATACATAGCATCGACATAGTCTGGCAGTGGCTCAAGTACCACATCCAAATCTGGCAAAGGTAATATTTGGAACTCTTGGCCCATCCCTATATCAGTGCCAACGGCAAATTTTATGGAAGATGGACGCCACTCAATTCCCAGGGCACCTAGCCGGCGTTGCTGATATGTACTCTGGTAAGGCTCGGGATATGGAAGCATGCCTGTGATTCCCATATATGGAATCAAAATATTAAAAAGATGTCTTTGGAAGAAAGTTGAGAAATAAACTGAGACTATGGAAGACTGCAGATATAATAATCAAATGTGAGAAAAGAGAGCCGTGGCATACTTGAATCACATAATGGATCTTGAATATTCCTCACATATGGTGTAAGTTGTGTCTCCTGCATCAAATGCCACATGTTGAGATAAAAAAGTAACAAGATAAAAAAGGCATGATGGAGCCAATTAAACAGTCCTTTTAAAGTGCGAATGCTAGTGAAGAACATCAAAGCACAAGAATTTAACGTAAGAATTGTAATTTAGTAAGATAGAGCAAATTTAACGTAAGAATTGGATTTTCATCTCCCAGGTCCAAAATTAAAATAATAAAGCATAATAAGGTAGAAAAGGTCAAATCACCTGATCAACAACATTACCGTGCGTGTCCTGAGTAAGCGGGCGGTAATCCCCAAGAAAGAACTGGTGAATATACACAAATGCACACGCGCAGTCAGATTCATCTTATGTAAGTACGAAAAAATCAAATATATATAAGCCGATTACCATCCATATACCTGATCATATTTAGCATCCTTTTGAGACTCTCCTTCACCAGTATTTAGCAAATATATTTGTCCTACATCATCTGAAAGCACGATAGATGTGCCATCCCTAGATCACCAAGAAACAGCATTTATATTGACAAAGGAAACGGAATGAAGAGCTCATGTGATTCGATGGGGTCGACATTCAAATTACGTTAAGACTTACTGTGAGAACTTCCCATCGACCAGCTTAAAGCGCCCACCAATCTCATACACTCTTATAGGAGTACCTTCCCAAATCTAGAAGTACATCATAAAGAAACGATCATTACAAACAACACTTAGATGCAAATTGTTGAAAAGCGGAAATCATTTACTCACATCCCATAGTACTGTTTTCCCATCATAGCCAGCACTCATAGCAATTCTTGGGTTAAACGGATGCACATCCAAGACATATGTCTGCAGGATTACCAAAAAAAAAAAAAAAATAATGATCAGTAAGCATAAAACATAAACGATAACAGTGGCACTCTGCCAAAACAGTCTCCTCTTCTAAATAGACAGCTATGCAAGCAGTCACAGTTTTGGGAAATAAGCTACAATGTAGGCTATTGCACTCCAACTAACCTCCAAAAACCGAAGGCCACGCTTCCTATTCTCATTCACAATGAAATTACTCAAGTTGCACAGATATCTTTGATTCCAAAACTTATCACTATGCACTACTTGAACACATTTTAGGAAATCAATGTCATTCAAGAAAAATAAAAGATTTACTTTACATGGAAATGAAGACAATTTATCTTTTGGTCACATATAAGAGAGGTGATGCAGTCAGTGAGGTCGAAAGTACAGAAATCGCATTTCAATAAATATCATGTTACAAGCAAGCATATAATTGAACGTTAAATTCTCGTGTGCGCCCATTGAGGTATAATGTGAACAGTAAAACTTAGAAGTTCAATAGTACGTACAGATGCTGTATGGCCCGCCAAAGAGTGCACCAAGCTGCCATCATTAGCATTCCAAACACATATTCTGTTATCTGCAGGGATATCATAAATACAAACACAGATTGTAACCCTAGAAACCACATAATCCATCTGCCACATGCATAAATATTGCATCAATAAATGGCCTATATTAGAGATTTACTGATAGATAGAAAATAATATAAGAACCCTTCAGATTTGACCTACTGTATATGCAATTTACGGTAGTAATAATAATAATAATAATTTTGCTTATCTTATCCTAGCTCTATGTGCCTACACCGCTGGTGTATTTTATATTTTAATATTCTTTTTAAGTGCTACAGCACATAGTTAAAAGAGATCAAAGTAATGAATATTAGCTGTAAGTAGCAACGATATCAACATGAGTAAAGGATAAATTGTTCAATATACAATGCGAGTCTAATAAAATAGGTTCTCGTGGAAGTATTATAGACATTATGCATAGGACTAAATCAATTTCATATCAACCCTTTATACACTTAACACCTAAAGTTTACAGATAAAGCAACAGTTTTAAGAACAAAGGCACACAATGTAACCGTAAGCATGAACATGTGAATAGAGGAGATTGGAAAGGCAAAAATTTCTGTATGAATGTGGGTTACCCATGATAGCAGCAAGCACAAAACGATTATCCAGGCTCCACATGATCATATTAACACCACGAGGAGTCGGCAGATATCTCTGACGTGGACCGCCTCGAGCAGGTCGAGGAGGCATCGGTGGAGGAGGAACTTTAAGATGATATGCCTTAACCCAACGTCCAACTTTTCCCTAAAAGGAAGAGGTATTTGGGGGGAGGGGAAGAAAAAAGAAAAGACTGTTACCATCTAGTGGAGCAACAAAACTGAAACTGGAACAATTGCTAGTATTTTAATTCTACACGAATTTAATTAACTATAAGACCAACATGAGATCTCCAAGATCTAGGATCCCGGGTACTAGAATTTAATTAAGTATAAGAACTAACATGAGATCTCCGAGATCGCGGAACCCAAATAATTGCACTGCCATCGCGTGAACAGGTAACAACGTTGTCATGATGAAACCTGGGATCGTTTGAGGTCAAAAGGCACAACTCACTAACAGTTTACAGTAAAACTCGCTAATGTCACAAACAAGACGCGAGTGAAGTGGGTGAAAATTGTATAGAATGCAGAAAAGTTACATAACACACCAGGAATTTTTGAACTTTGGAATGTTGTCCTCGATAAATGAATCGGATGGAGAAGATCGTGATGCCACAGCACAGCCACTGTATAAAGAAAGGCGCGGTCAGAACTTAAAAAAAAAAAAAAAAAATCCCTGTTGCAAAGAATCACACAGTAATGACTTACTAACCTGAACTGAACGTAGTTGACATCATTCTCATGGCCAGCTAGTATGTCAATTTCATGACATACTTGTTCAGGATCATATGTATTTGGCTTACATGCACTCCAAACCTGTTAACACAAATTCTTAAGAATACTTGGCATGCCAAGATTTGTAGGAGCACTGGAGCAATCAAAGAAGCATAAATGAGACACTGGTGTAGCCATCATAATAGTGTATCTTGACAATATATCAACAAATATAACAACCTGGTTGCAATGCGAGACCACATTATAGGACGTCATTATAGTACCGCAGTATAGCATATATCATGCGATGACAAGACCACACCAAGCAACTAGAAACGAAAAGCAGCTAAAACATGCAAAACGCACAAATATGATACTGTCAGTGATTGGTAAATAAGGTATGTTCCTAAATTAGGGGGGAAATTTATCAAAAGTCATCACTTCACATTTACATACATGTCGGCCACAGATACAGCATATAAAAGAATATATTTACTTCATACCCTTGCAAATGTATCAGAGCTCCCAGTGACAAAGACAGTCCCATTAGCATTGTATGCACAACATAGTATTTGATGGCCCTGTAAAGCAGTGCTCAATGATGCACCTGAAGATAAACCAATGCTCCTTCCTGCAATAATATACACACATGTGAGCGTTGCTATCATTTCCGCCATCATAAAATAGACAATAAATTATCATCTAACCATTAGTAGCATCTGAGGGCTTTGGGAGATAGACACGAGGACGGCACTGAGAGGATCTAGCTTCCCATACCCGACACGATCCATCGTCAGACGACCTATTGATGTTAGTGGTTGATCAGCAAACATAGTGAATCTTGCATTGAGCTCTGTAGGACAAGAACATTTCTACTCAACCAGTAGAGAGAATTTCAAGGAGCTAAATTTGATATTAAGAGAAATAAAAAATTCACAGTTTATTCAAAAGAAAACTACGGCGGCCTTCAGTTCTAGTGCAGAATAGAGAACAGAAGAATGCTAGCTATGAGTAAACAAGAAAATAAGATACATCTCAAGTGAGCCAGAAAGCCACAAACATCACGACAATCGGAAATTACAGCAAAGGTTATCACGAGCAAATGTAAATAATACTAAATATTCCATATCCATAATCGCATTGCGGGAATGCAATGTGATATTATTGATAATCTTTCCTTGGACTGGTCATTTCAAAGTTTGCCAGTGAGAATGATACAACAATTCAGGAGATAGTTCTTTGCAGTTCGTTGAAAATTTACTGCAAAATATCGACAAAGTTGGCATAAAGTTTAGAGCAACGCTCACGATAACAGATGATAAGGAGTATTTGGCCTGGGACTAAAAGCAATGGCAGTAACAACTCCAGTATGTCCACGAAGAACTGAAATAGGGTAACCATCAGGCAGACGCCACTGCAAAAAACAACACTTTAGTGTTTGAAGAGCTAAGAAGTATTGAATTCAAATAGGTTGCAAATGGAATCTTACAACACGAATAGTAAAATCATTTGATGCTGATGCCACTAGAGCATTATTGGAGCTGACAGATAAATCTGTAATGTCGCCCTGGTAATGAACAAGGACATTAGAAGTTGAGAAGGCATCAAATTGAACTGAGAAAGCAATGAGTAAACTTCTGAAAATTGTACCAAAATATAATTCCACATATTGTGAACTTACTTCATGTCCACGGCAACTTGCGAGGCACAATGCAGTTTCCATGGACCAAATCTTTACCAAACGATCGTCGGATCCAGTAATCACATAGCGACCAGAGCGATCAAATATAGCTACAAGATGAAAAAGCAATAAAAGTTTGTGTCATGTGACTCACACAAAGGGGAAATATCAAAGTGTACGCTAAGAGAAAGCACCATCCTGGGGACAAAATGATCATCTATAGATAATAAGGCGTTGTTTTAGTTTCTGTTGATATGCAAGTATAACTAAAATGCAAAACTTCACTGGAAATCATTTAATGACTACACAAAGGTACAACAAATTGATGAAAAATAAAAAATTCAAAATTTACCACAATACACAGCATCCCTGTGTCCTCTCAACTTCTTCATATTTTGCATCTTTGGCACCATGGATGATGGTTTGGCGATGGTATAACATGCAACGCGTATAGATGGAGCACGGTGGTGTTTTGAAAAGCCACCTCCAATTTCTCTCAATCTAAGCCCTCGAACCTGATCGGCTTGCATATGTGGCCACCGGAGGTAAGATGGTAAGTGTCTCACTTGCTTGTTTACTTTATTTCTCTCATCTGCATGATGAGGAATACAGATCACAGATATATTTAAGAGAGAGAGAGAGAGAGAGAGAGAGAGAGAGGCATGAATTAAACCGACGTATCCAAAACAAAGCATCACAAGTACAAAAATTTTAGAGTGCATGCCTCTGCCTTACGTATGCATTCAGCATCGTACAAGTGCAACAATTTATTTTCATGAATAAACATATTTATCAAGACCTTTAGTGTCTTAAGCAAAACAAGTGTAACTATCAATAATCCAAAAGTATAGAATCTAATACATGAGATACGAACTGAACAGTCATATAACTGACTATTGTGTGTTAACATATATCTCTAACTGACAAGACGACATTACTTCTTAAAACCTAATGACAGGGAATGTAAGCAAAATAAAACATGGTTGGGGCATTAACTTCACTTACCTGACAACAAAGAAAATGTCCCAGTTCCAAGTACGGTAGGAACATCAAGAGCATTAGGAACAATTCGTCCGGATATACACTGCGATGGAGGAGACATCATCAGCATCAATTGTTTAATGAGTCTGACCAAGTGATCTTTTCCAATGTGGGGGTACCTGGTAAAAGGGTTTTAAACATTCAACTGAATGAAGCCACTTTATAGCGGGGGGAAAGTTCATCTTATTAATGTATGATGTCATAACTAAGAAAATTGTCCAAGTGTTCTTTTGTTAATGATGCTAATACTGGAAAACCAGCTACAAGATTTTGAGCTACTGTCGACCCTCAGTTATTTGACGCATCTTAATTCTGTTGGCATGACACGAGCATTGAATGTTTAACCCACTCGGCCTAAATATTTTACAGAATATACATTAGGGCAACATAAGCATAAAATTACACTCTTACAACCTATTTAATATAGCATCACAGTGGTTATACCTTTTAATTTCAATCTAAACACATGTACAAACAGTCTCTCGTAAATGAGGATTTCAAAACTAAGTAAATATTAGCAGGAAATGCACTAATAAACTCATTGCCATGCATAAGAAGAGACTGATTTCCTTCTATCAAACTACAAAATCAACTATGGATCTGGGATCACTGTCAAATTGAAACATCAACATCAACATCAACATCAACATACCCAGTATATTCCCAACAGGTTGGGGTCTGGAGGGTCAGTTGTACGCAGACCTTACCCTTGTAATTATACAAGGAGGCTGTTTCCATAGCGACCCAAGGTGTCAAATTGAAACAACATAAAAAAAAATAAGAAAAAAAAAATAAGGAGTATAAATCAATACTTACCTTCCAATTAAATTGTCATAATTTAGAGGAAACGAGTTCCCATCGTCATTTAGGTCCCCGGAGACTGTACCACGCCTTGAATACCAAGCATGATATCTTCGAGGTAAGAGTGCGTGTTCTGAAAGTTCCTCCCACATTTGTCTAAATGTTTTTTGACATGGGCCAGCGGCCAGAAAATGCATGATCATGAAATAAATATCTCTGAGATCAACATCTACATCCATGGAAGAACCATAATCTGCAAATCCCTCGCGGTCTTCCATTTGGGCCATCGCATTTACCTTGTTTGTAAAACTTGATGTAGCCACACTCACTGGAGGTGCATTTTTTAAGCATGTATATTCCCTAAGCTCCATAAAAAAAAAATAAATAAATAAATAATAACTAAATAAATAAAACCTGAAACAAGAAGCTCATCAGAAATTTTGGTCGAAACAATAGCTCGAGCTCAGCAAACCTACAAAAATGAGGTCGTCAAACTAATATTATAAAAACTAAATTTAAACTAAACAAAAAGGAGCTCGAGGGCTCGTTTCTAAAGATTCAATTTTGGGATAATGCAGAAGCTGTTCTTGATTTCGCCTTTCCTATGGCTAGATGTGCAAGATGAAGAAAAGGAAAAATTGGGCACGGCTGCTGCTATACTCTGAAACCCTTAACGCAGGTCAATTAACTAGTCATGATCAAAACTATTTCAGTAAACTCTTTCATAAATCACTGATACGGCACCATGAAGCTCGATTCAGCATCCATGGCAGTTCTCGATTCACAAATAATTCATTTTTTTTTTTCTCAACTCATACCGATTTTCTTTTTCTTTTTTTTTTGGTACAATGAAGGAAACATACCGATTTTCTTTCACAACAAAGATGAGCACCGATAAATTATGAAATATCAAATATAGCACTTCGAGCTAGATGAAGGGCGTCGTGGCGACGGAAAATAGCCGGAGATTGGTGGCGCGCGGCTGGAATAGAGGCGGAGCAAGGGCGAGCTCCTCGGGAAGTTGGGTAAGGGAACAGCCGGTTAGATTGGTTGGATTTAGAGACGTAATTGAGATTTAAGCCTCAAATAGTAATGACCGGTAAAAACAGTCCAATTAACGAGCTCAAATTTTATGTGTTACCACGATTTTTAACTAGGCAATTTAAGTAAAAAAGATTATGAAAAATCTTTATTTATTAACACGAATGAGTCTTAACGAGTTAAGTCAAATTCGACTCTCTAATTGAACGTGTCTTAAACAAGTTCGGCTCGAGCTTTAAGCTCGATTGATTTATAAAAAGAGAAGAGCTATAAATCAATTTGATATATTAACCATGCTATATAATGTTTGGAGAAAAAAAAAGTTAATTCATTTAAAGAAAAGGAAAATTATGTATACACGCTCACATAACCTTGCTTATAAAAAATATGGTACGCTATAAATAGGTCATTAACAGTCTTTTTTTTTTTAAGAATAATAATAATGTGTTGGTTATTATTTTCGCTGGATCCTATCCTTATGAAAAACACTATTTTATGTTTTTTTTTTTTAATTTCACGGGGTTATATGAACAGTATCAAAATGTATATCACGAAATAATAAATCAATTTGTATTGACTATCAAATATTTTGTCGATGTATATGAAGTATCACATATATTTGAATGTTACTGTTCATATGCCAAATAAAATGATAAAAATAAAATTATATGTATGAGAATCGGTTTTGCTATGGAGCAATCTGATGGCTCGACTTATGGAGCCATTCATAGTTTTCCACAAATGATGTATTGACATATGTCCTACAATAAATACACATTAGACGCATGTCAATACATAAATGTATGGATGACTCCATAAGGGAGCCATCCGATGGCTCCATAGACTTTCTGATATATTTATTTTATAATATAGCAGGTGTATAGTATGTGATAAATGGTGTTATGCTAGTCAATAATTAATGGCTAATTTACATAGTGGAAAAAAAAAAGAAAGAGGAAGGGAGGGAGGGAGGGAGGGAGGAGAGATAGCAAAATGGCAAGTTTTATATATTAATTAAATAATATTATTATAATTAAAAATAAAAGTTTTAATATATGTATAAATAAAAATAGTCTTAACAGTAATTTCTCATAATTAATTAGGAAGCATAAAAACTGTCCTCGGCCCATTGCAAGTGAGCTAGTGACCAGATGTAAATATATTTGGGCCTACGGCTTTGCATCCAATGATATAATCCTTGGGCCATTGGATAAAAGGGTCTACATCGCTTGCTTGGAGGGTTCGGCCGAAGGCCGAAACAGACTCATTTTACTCAGATATCCCATTTTTCTACGACTCACAATTAAACAAACAATTATACAATTCAATTATATTTATTTTACTGAAGGATAAAATTTATACAAAACATAGTCATACTTTTGTTGATATAGTTTTTTGAAGTAATTCATTTTATTACAAAAATAGGTATATTTGTTGGAAGAGATTCTTTTTTTTTTTTTTTGTCTAAACATTAATCATCTATCACAATTTGCCAATATTTTTTAACATGTATCACAGTTTGCCAATTAAAATAAACTAAGTGTGAAAAATGGTTCCTTTTATAATCCCCCTACCCATCTATATAATTCAGAACGCGCTGAGCCTACGTGACTGCTTTTGGTGTTTCGGAATCCTATGTGCCAAAATTATATGCTTCGTTATTAGGCTTGGGTAAATTTTAATTTAGGCCCCGTTTGGAAGATAGCGGATTGAGGATAAATTAGGGGATTTGACTTAATTGAGAGGTTTGACCCGTCAAATCCGCTATTGAGTTTGTTTGGTAAATAGCTTATATGATAAGCTTTTTAGGCCCAACACTCTAATTTAGAAAAAGCTCATTAGAGGAGCTTTTTAGGGATAGAGGATTCACAATCTACAATTTTAATTTAGAACTTTTTAATTTCTATTATTTATTTTACAATCTACATTGGTTTATGATACTAACAAATAATAATATGTCATCCATATGATTAATTTATCTATAAAAATGTAAAATTCATAACTTCTTAATCAATTGTTAGTAATTTTTTTTTAAAAAAAATATATATTTATAAATTACCAACTAAAAAATATTAAATGTTTTAATATATTATAATTAAAAGAATATACCCTAAATAATAAAATGTCTTTATTGGTAATTTGCAATGTCAAACAGCTATAAGCTTTCACCTATTTACCAAACACTTATTTAAAAACCGCTAATGCAATCCGCTAGTCAAATCAGCTAATATAATCCGCTATCCGCTAATACAATCCCCTATCCGCTGATCGCCAAACAAGGCCTTAGTTTCAAACCAAAAATAATTAGATTTGGATTATCATAAATATATTGATTATTTATGGTCATGTTACATTATTAATTTCATTTTAATATCATTCCTTATTATAACTACTAGTACAGAGCCCGTGCGATGTACATGGTGCACAATTTTAAAGTCATTTATCCAGCCTTATAATTATATAAATAAATACAAAAATGTGCAGGATATATATAGTACGTGAACTGTAATAGGCCAAAATGTGAACACGTGTGATGCACGTGTGCACAATTTTAAGATCATTTATTAGTACAAAACTCATGCGATGCACGGGGTGCACAATTTTATAGTATGTGTAATACAAATACATACCTTATGCACAAGACATAAGCACTAATGAGTCATTTCCACAAAGCTTGCCCGTTAAGTAGCTCCTGAACACGGGTGCACAATTTGTAGTACGTACCATAAAATCAGAACAGATTTCCATACAATTAGATAGTAAATAAAGCCTTTTTTATTTTAGTAAAGATTTATGTATTTTTTTTCTTACTTATCGGATGTTATGAGATTTTTTTTAAAACCGATTTTATAGGATATAATGCAAATACAATTAGAGGATTGAACAAAATCAGAACAAATTTTCATACAATTAGATAATAAGAAGGAATTAGATAAGGAAAAGAAGGAATTAGATAAGAAAAAGAAGGAATTAGATAAAGAATTTTGAATCTGCTTTTTTTTTTTTTTTNNNTTTTTAGTATAAATAGACTTTATGTACAAATTTTGACTTCACTGATTTTATGAGATTTTTTTTTTGACAAAACGATGTTAATATGGAATAAGACAAATAAATAAAGTATTTTTTATTTTAGTAAAGATTTTACGTCATTTTTGTTTACTTGTCAGATGTTATGAGATTTTTTTTTTTCTTAAACTGATCTTATGGCATATAAGATAAATAAATAAAATTATGGATAGAAATAGTAATGCATTATTATGTTGTCTTTTCAACCTACTACATTTGGTAAATAGGAATATATGATACCTTATTATATAAGTATAGATGATAGACATATAGGCCTGTGCGATATAAGACAAATAAAGATGGTTAATTTATTTCAATCTGTATTTTATAATATGTCCTCGTTTTACTTTTATTTATATTGTTTGTAAAATATTTAATTTTTACATGAAAGTATGTATATTTATTGAAGAAGTATAAGGGTTGTTGATTTTAATGTTATGTAGGTGAAAATTAAGATATCATTAAATTTTATGTGAGTTTAATATAAGATTACATTATGGTTGTCACTCATTATTATGCAAATTTTTACTATGTTATTTATCATCATTAATTATAATATTATTAGAAATTGCACTTCTCGATTTTAATTTTTTATTTTAACTCAATGCCTATTAAAAAAATGTTTAGGTCGTCGGAATTGTTCAACTCTTGGGAGTCTCAAATACAATATAGGGGTTTATTATTATTATTATTATTATTATTATTATTATTATTATTATTATTATTATTATTATTATTATTATTATTATTATTATTATTATTACTTTCTGAATATTTATTGCTTGTTCTACAATAATTTATATCTATGATCTATCTGAGTTTCATAGGTAGATCACTGATTCATAGTTCTATTATGAGCTAGCCGTTTGAAAAAAATAAAAATTAAAATGTTATGGCCTAATAATTTTAGTTTGTTTAAATTCGATATTTTAGTCGTCCGAGGTCCGATACTTTGATATTACTATTATGAAAGATATTAATATTACTCATTTTTTGTGTAACCAATAGTGTAGATGATAGACATATAGGCTTGTGCGATATAAAATAAAGATTGAAAGAAATTAACCATTTTATTTAAAAACAATACAAGACAAATATATTACCTTTCAATCTACATGCATTAATTACGCTGACTTTTCAACCTACTAAATTATAAATGCATTAATTACTACTTGATAAAATTAGAAGTTAATTAATTAAGTTTGACTTTTCTACCTACTGTATTTAGTAAACAGGTTCCCCTTTAATATAAGTATAGATTGGATTGTATATATATTTTAGAAGTTAATAATTTTTATATTTTTTTATCAATTTTACATATGTAATATATCAAACTAATCTTCTTTTGATGAGCTTCATCCATATTGTATGTATAAAAAAATAATTTATATTTATCTTTATAACAATAATAAAATTATTTTTAATATTAGTTAGAAAAATAAAATTATTTATCAACTAATATATTTA